AGGATTGAGTTTAAATTGAAGTGATTTATGTTTGTTTGGTTTTACTGTGAATGATAGTTTGATGTAAAAGTTTAGTATAATAATGTTTTCAACCCAATGCAAAAACTACTATTATCATTTCTAGTCATAGCAAGGTTTGAAAAGCATAGTCAAATTTGCCAGAAACCAACCGAAGACTTGTATTTTCACTAAAATCACGTTTGACACAAGGTAAATAATTTTTCATAATCTTTACCATGAAACCAAACACACAAATTTAGTAATTTGCAGTTTTTTCGGTTTTTATTTATTTATTTTTATTTTTATTTGTACTCTACATTGTATATCATACTTCCCTACATGGACTCTGATACCTTGTAATCTCTAATGTGGTGTTAACCACCTACAAATGTATGATCCATTGGGGCTTTGCAAGTATTATACCATAAAGACTTTGGGTCTTCATTTATCTCTATAGTTTCATTTCCTACCCCGTAATTTCCATTTTTCCTATATTCAAATCTTAATTGGTAATGCTTCATCAATATTCAGAATTTTTACATAGATATACTTCTAGACTGACTATTCTAATATTACACGGTGCAGGGAGATGCATTGCAAGTGAAAGTAAACAAATTAACTTCAACGAAGACCCAACTTCCATATACATATTATTCACTTCCTTATTGCACCCCCAAAAAAATAGTTGATAGTGCTGAAAATCTTGGAGAAGTGCTTCGTGGCGACCGCATTGAAAATTCACGTTATGTGGTAAGTTTTGTATGACATGTTAACCGCTGGCTGGACTTTTGTATTGTGGTTATCAACTGGTTTACTCCATTCCCTATTTGCAGTTTAAAATGCGTGAACCACAAATGTGCAGTATTGTGTGTAAGCGTAAACTTGACGCCAAAACAGCAAAGGCATTTAAAGAGAAGATTGATGATGAGTATCGAGTCAACATGTATGGCGTGCCAGTAATTGTCTTATATTTTTGTGCCTGTTTTTTGCTACAATATCAATATCGGGTATCTTACAGTGGCTCTACCTTTACATGCAGGATTCTAGATAACCTTCCTCTGGTTGTTCCCATAAAACGTGTAGATCAGGACTCTACTGTTTATCAGCTTGGTTTCCATGTCGGACTCAAAGGGCAATATAGTGGGGTATGCTCATTATTCTATGAATCAATGTCTGTTGTGAATGCCAACTATTGTTTTGTGCTTACTATGTTCAAATACACAGAGCAAGGAAGAGAAGTTTTTTATACACAACCATTTGGCATTTACTGTCAGATATCATAGGGATCTGCTTACTGAATCTGCTAGAATTGTGGGCTTTGAGGTCAAGCCATTCAGGTCTGTATGTTTGTTATTGTTTTGTTCTATGATTCATCCTGTCAAACCAGTTGTGGTATGCATGCCTTTGTGATTTTTGAAATCTGAATGTTGATTTACAGTGTCAAACATGAATATGAAGGGAAATGGGAGGAAAAAACTCGTTTAACTACCTGTGACCCTCATGCTAAACATACAGTTGTCAACTCCAACACTCCTCAAGAAGTTGAAGAGGGCAAGGAAATCATCTTCACGTACGATGTTGAATTCCAGGTGAGATCATCTAAATAAATGGTGCTTGTATATCACCACTTTTGAGTGCCTATTGGTTTACATTAGCCAACTATTTACATGGTTTGTGTGAAGAAATTCATTTACCAACAAATCATGTTCCTCTTGTATTATTATTCTTGTACATTCTATCTTAATAAAATGGTGTTTTTAAACCTGCTACTTTTGATTTCCTATTTGCTTAAATTAGTCAATTAGTTAAATATGGCTTGTGGAGAGAAATTAATTTATCACTAAATGGATTAAATTCCCTTTGTATTATTCTTTAATTGTTTTTGGCTTTTCATAAATAAATTTCTGTTTTCCCCCTTGCATCCAAGTAGTCTGCTGTTTTTCCTCTTCTTCCTTCCGTTCTTATTATTAGCTTAGTGAAAGATGATGACATTTTATTTTCTATAACAATTTACCTTTGTCTAAGTTCAGGAGAGTGATGTGAAGTGGGCTTCAAGATGGGATGCCTATTTGCTGATGAATGACGATCAAATTCACTGGTTCTCAATTGTGAACTCATTGATGATTGTTCTCTTTCTCTCGGGTATGGTGGCAATGATAATGCTGCGAACACTTTATCGCGATATTTCCAAGTACAACGAGCTTGAGACCCAAGAAGAAGCACAAGAAGAGACTGGTTGGAAGCTTGTTCATGGTGATGTTTTCAGGCCACCAAACAACTCAGATCTGCTGTGTGTTTATGTTGGTACTGGGGTTCAGTTTTTTGGGATGATACTAGTAACAATGCTCTTTGCTGTCCTTGGATTCCTTTCTCCTTCAAACAGAGGTGGGCTAATGACAGTCATGCTCTTGCTATGGGTTTTCATGGGGCTTTTGGCTGGTTATGCATCAGCCCGCTTATACAAAATGTTCAAAGGATCAGAGTGGAAGAAAATTTCCCTCAGGACTGCAGTCATGTTCCCTGCTTCTGTCTCTGCTATTTTCTTTGTATTGAATGGTCTTATATGGGGGCAAAAATCATCTGGAGCTGTGCCATTTGGAACAATGTTTGCTTTGATCTTTTTATGGTTTGGAATCTCAGTTCCACTTGTTTTTGTTGGTGGCTATGTTGGGTTCAGGAAACCTGCAATTGAGAATCCTGTGAAGACAAACAAAATCCCAAGGCAGATCCCTGAACAGGCGTGGTACATGAACCCGGCCTTCTCAGTTTTGATAGGGGGAATACTCCCATTTGGAGCTGTTTTCATTGAGCTTTTCTTCATCCTCACATCAATCTGGTTGAATCAGTTTTACTACATCTTCGGCTTCCTCTTTTTGGTCTTCGTCATCCTCGTTATCACTTGCGCAGAAATAACTGTTGTGCTTTGCTACTTCCAGTTGTGCAGTGAGGATTACTTGTGGTGGTGGCGCTCTTACCTCACATCAGGCTCTTCCGCACTGTACCTCTTTCTTTATGCAACATTCTACTTCTTCACCAAGCTTGAAATCACGAAGTTGGTATCTGCGATATTATACTTTGGTTACATGTTTATAGCTTCTTATGCCTTTTTTGTCGTAACTGGTACCATCGGATTTTACGCATGCTTTTGGTTCACAAGGCTCATTTACTCATCAGTTAAAATTGATTAGACACACTCATAACAGTCAGTGGTCTGGAGTACCACCCTACTATACTTCCTAAAGGATGAGGAAAATGTGTGCAAGAATTTTGAAATTCAGGTACTATCCTGTTCAGAATCAGATGTAACCTATTCAATGGAATTTTGAATTGTGACGACACAGTTATTCTTTTGTTTCAATATATGTTATACTTGCCAGAGTTATCAAGTACAGATAAGGTACCATGCAGTTATTTTCTGTTATTTCTCGTAGAATTACAAACGGCTACAAGTTAGATGATTTTTAAGTCTTTTGGAATTGAAAAGAATATTTAGTTTGTTGAGAATTTTTTGTAAGATGATTTAATATTTTTAAATGCTGAACATTGGATGTGCCTTTTATTTATTTGCATCAGCGGTGATTTTATAATCGTAAGGGCTGTTGACTGAACATGGATAATCTGCAGTTCTAATTTCCTCCAGCTCTTTTACTTCCTATCTCTCATTCAATCACCTCATTAATTTTTATATTTTTCTTCCACACTTACGAGATCGAAGCTGGACTCTACTAGGCATCAATATTTAGACATTTTGCACTTGCCTTATATTTATTATATTTTCGATACATATTTTTCTAACTTCTCATTTCTTCCACATGGATCATGAATGATAATTTTACCATCACAAATAATATGGTGTTAACCAAAACTCACCAAAACTCTTGCACGAGCAAAATAAAACAAAAAGGTCGTTCTTTTCCTGGGGTGCCTGGTCAAGTGTTTTATTTTGAAGAACGATAATTGTGGTTAGATAATTTTTGCAAAATAAAACAAAAATAACTATCTTGATATACGTAATTTTGTCATCAACATGATCACATGACCAAACATTCACAATTAATCGTCCTCTTTCTCACCTATAGGGGCATAGTCACAAAAGACCCAAAGATTCATGATGTTTCTTCCCTTTCCTTTTAGACTCTTCATCCTCACAATGACGGGTGACAATTTTTTGCAAATCAATTTTACAACTTTAATTGAAACTCAATAGTGTGGTTTTGAAATTTTGATTTCCTAAATTCAAATTTCCCAGAATTCCATGTATTTGGGTTATTATTATGGATTTTTTTTTTGTCATACACTAGGCTCTAGATGATTTTTATCTTATCAACCACCCAACTAACTTTCTGTTGTCCTTTCTCTCTCAATTTGTGAATGGAATCATTTATAAGTTTTAACGTAAAGCATATGCAAACAAAATATCTAGTTTTGAAATGATATTACAACTTATTAGCCATACTATGTAAAACAAACTTAATAAATACAAATTTGTTACATGGTAGCAGTTAATTAGTTAATAAAGAAAAGTTAATAACAGAAAATAAATGGTAGCTGGTAACTAATTAACAGCCATGTAACAAACAACAAACTTGTATTCAGTAAGCTTGTTTTAAAAAGAATGGCTAATAAAACTAATAAAACTAACATATGATTGTGCTTGCAATATAGCCGTTTTAAATTACATAACAAACAAACAAAATATTTCAACTTGCTAGACAGACCCTTATAAAAACATGTTTATTCGGCCATTATAAGATGTCGGAGAGACGAGACAAAGACCTTTGATTTAGAAAACAATTTTTAAGATTTCCACATCAATTGCTAAACTAAAAGACAAGATAAAATAAACATTTAAGTAAGTTGTTCACACTATCCTTAAAACCAACCCACCTAAACATTTTTTTATCCATATTTAATACTAGTAGCAGTTTTATTAAATGGAATAAGCGCCATATACTGACATCAAGAGAAAGTGAACCATAGAGAGAAGGAGAGCGATAGAAATGGCATCAAGGTATTGTTACAAGGATGTGCTTCCATTCACTGCAATGGTTGCAATGGAGTTCTCAAACGTTGGTGTTAGTGTTCTATTCAAAGCAGCTACTCAAAAGGGATTGAGTTTCTACGTTTTCATTGCTTATTCATATGTTGTCTCCACTCTTGTTCTTCTTTTGCCTCTCCCCTTCTTCTTCAAATGGTCAAGAGGGCTCCCCCCTTTGAACGTCTCTCTAATCTTCAGAATCTTTCTCCTCGGAGTTTTGGGGTAATACTTAAAGATTTTGAGTCTTTTTTAAGTAATATTTTTTGTTGATTTTAAGTTTGGTTGATTTGATGAATTTTTTGTAGAGTTGTGGCTCAGCTATTTGGATATAAAGGACTTGAATACACAACACCTACTCTTGCTTCTGCTCTTGCCAACCTTATACCTGCTTTTACATTCATCCTAGCTATCTTTTTCAGGTGCCAATTTCTCATACTCTTGCAATAAGGTAATACTTGTTTCATATTTGCTATGTTTTTATCGTGAATCTTATTGGTTGTTGAATGAAGGATGGAGAACATAATTTTAAGAAGCAAAAGTAGTCAAGCCAAAATATTGGGTTCTATCGTATCGATATCAGGCGCACTCATAGTTGTACTTTATAAAGGTCCAATGATTATATCTTCACCATCGACAAAACCACTACATTCTATTGATTCTCAGATAAATTTAACAACGCAATCGAATTGGATTCTCGGTGGATCTCTACTTGTTATAGAGTTTCTCATTGTTCCTGTCTGGTACATTGTTCAGGTATGTTGAACTCTAAGCAAAGATTTCAGACACATTGTGAATTTCCAATTTTCATATTAAAATTACTAACATAAAATTGTGTTGCTTCCAAACAGACAAATGTCATAAAACAATATCCATCAGAGATTATTGTGGTCTTTTTGTATAACCTATGTGGAGCACTAGTGTCTGTTCCACTATGCTTACTACTAGAACCAAACTTGAGTGCCTGGAAAATAAATCCCGATATCGAGTTGATCTCCATTATATACTCGGTAAGATTACATAAAGAGCCATAGAATTTTTTTTTAAATAATTTGAATTTAATTATTTATTTACTTTTTGTAATCTAAAGTTTGTAATTTGATGCAGGGAATTTTTTGCACTGGATTAAGTAGTCTTGTTCATACTTGGGGACTCCATGTTAAAGGCCCTTTATATGTATCAATGTTTAAGCCATTGTCAATAGCTATTGCTGCATGTATGAGTGCTATATTCCTTGGTGATGCACTGTATTTTGGAACGTATGGATTTCATTCTTTTACTTTTTTTTTGTTGCTAAAATTGAATTATTCTATAAATTAAAGCACTTTTAACATATTTTGTTATTGCAGGGTTGTTGGAGCTGTAGTAATATCGATTGGATTCTATGCTGTTTTATGGGGAAAATCTAAAGAAGAATTGAATGATGATTTTGACACAAATAGAGTTCCACTTTCATACGATGCCAAGACTCCTTTGTTGAAAGGCTAA